GCATAGAAATAAACCTTCACTTATGCCAAAATGATTTTTTGAAAAAAAAAATTTTTTTTGAGACAAGGTCTCACTATGTATTTCAGGCTAGCCTTGAACTCATTATGTAGCCCAGACTGGCCTCGACCTTATGGCAATTCTCCTACCTCAGCCTCCCAAGTGCTAGGTTTACAGCCATGCATCACCACATCTGGCTTGTGAAATGATTTTTGACAAGAATGCTGACACTGTTCAGTGAGGGAAAAGACACTCTTTTCAATGATTAGTGCTGGGAAATGGGATATCCACATACAGAGAATGAAGTTGGACCTTTACCTAATGCCACAAACAAAGACTAATGACAGTGGATCAAGACCTACCTGTAAAACTCTTTAAAAGATATTTTGGACAAAAGTTTTGTAACATCATATCTGGCAGTGATTTCTTGGATACAACAGCAAAGGCACAAGTAACAAAACAGACAGTTGGACTTCATGAAAGTTTTAAAATTTTGTGTTCAAAAGACACTGTCAATGGAGAAAAATGAGAGAAGTGAGAGAAAACTTGTATTTCTCATACATCTGATAATGTGATTAATATTCAGGTTATATAGAGAACTCTTCAAACTCAGTAACAAAAAAGCAGACAACCTGATTAAAAAATGGGCGAGTTGAATAGATATTTTTCAAAGAAGATATGTACATATCTAATAAAATGAAAAAATGCTTATGTCATTAGGGAAATGAAAATCAAAATTATATTAGAATACCACCTGATTCCCATTAGGATAGTTACTTATAATAAAACTGAAAATAATTAGTGTTGGTGAGGATGTGGAGAAATTGGAAAACTTGTACACTGCTCGTTGAAAAGTAGAATGGAATCGTGGCTATAGAAAATAATATGGAAGTTCCTGCAAAAATTAAAAATAGAAGTATCATATGGCCTAGCAATTCTACCTGCAGGTATATACTCTAAAGATTTGAAAGAAGGGTCTTAAATATTTGTACACCCAAATTCATAGCACCATTATTCACAGTAGCTAAAATGGAGAGGCAACCTAAGTGTCCGTTGATGGACAAATGAATAAGCAAAATGTGATAGATACAAAATTCAGACTAAAAAGGAAGGAAATCTAACATATGCTACAACATGGATGAACCTTGAGGACATTATTCTCATTGAAATAACCAGTCACAAAAAGACAAATACTGTATGATTCTAATTATGTGAAATAGAATAGTAAAAATGACAGAGAAAGTAGAATGGTGGTTGCTCAGGGTTGGAGGGAAGGAGTGATAAGAGTTATCAAGGGGTATGGCTTTTCAGTTTTACAAGATGAGAATGTTTTGGGGATAGTAGTGATGATTGCACAAAATAATATATGTATTACCACGAAACTATACAGTTAATAGTTAAAATGGAAGATACTAGGTTGTGTGTGTTTTACTCCAGTTATTAAAAATTTGAGGGAATAAGTCTGTGTAGAATTTATATTTGTGTGTGTGTGTGTGTGTGTGTGTGTGAGAGAGAGAGAGAGAGAGAGAGAGAGAGAGATAATTAGAATGACTAGTAGCTTTAACTATCTCCAGTCAGTTTTACATTCTTTATGCTATGGAATTCTTTTTTTTTTTAATTCTTAAATGTTTTGCAGTAAGTTTGTATTTTTAAAGTCAGAAAATAATATTTTTGTTTTTTAAAATATGTACCATAGAAGAGTCACTGACATTCTCAGGTCGCTAATGGAGATATGCTGGTGTGCTATATAACTTTATTCTTGCTGCTTAACGTGCTACTGTCTTGTTAAATCTGCATTATGTTTTAGAAGAATATGATTCCATCATTCTTCAGCTTTTCAAATGTATTTTTAAGACTTTGTTGAAAATGAAAAAATTATTTCTGTGAGCTTGCATCTACTCCAGCATTAGATTTTTATAGAAAAATTATTGCAGCAAACATACTCTCTGGTAGAGTAAATGATCAGGAAATGAATGTATAATGTGGTAAAAATTCTTCCTCCACACTTGAGTTGCCAGCAAGCTATTAATGCTTTAAAGCAGTGATCATGAAAGTTTTAGAGACCAAGTACCCAAATGGCAACCAAAAACCCAGTTATTTATCACAAAGTGCCAACAATTAAATCTGAATAATCCGCTGCTGGTGTGATGCTGGGGTTACTTGGCTCATGTGCCAACAGAGAGGACTCTGTGTGCCTGCTGCAGCACGTGTACCATAGGTTCACCACTGGTGCTATAGAATAAGAGTCCAATCATGCTATGTGGGGAAGAGCTCACTTTTGTTTTTATTTTGATGGAGTTTGTTTTTGTTTTTTGGGGGGTGTTTGCTTGTTGTAGTATTAGGGATGCAGTATTGAATGCAGTATAAAACACAGGAGCATCCTACCACTGTGTTACATACCCAACCATTTTTATATTTTATTTTGAGACGGGGTCTTGCCAAGTGTCCCAGACTGGCCTTGAACTCACAATTCTTCTGTCTCAGCCTCCAGAGAAGGTGGGATTACAGGCATATGCCACTACTTCTGGCTTCTTAAGAGTTCACCTTTGAAAACACAAGATAACGCAAAAAGAGCATGTTTATCTAGACTGGTTTTTTTTTTTATCTTTTTAGAAGTTGCTTCACTTATGGTTAGGGACCAGGGTGAGGGATGATGAAAGAAGAGGTTGGGACCTGTAGTAGTTGTAAAGGAGAAGATTAGTGGGGATGCTGGGAACACATTTTACCCTTTGATTCATTGTGCCAAGTATAATTAGTAGTAAAGGTTTTAAGTATTATAATCACATGAAGTATCACTAAATATCCAAGTGATTAGAGAGCATAATAAATACAGACATCCCTGTTGTTTCCTTTTCTAGAAGGTAAATTTGCTCACTGTATTTTTTTTTTTTTTTTTTTTTTGGGTACTGGAGATTGAACTCAGGTCCTTGCGCTTGTGCAGCAGGTGGCAAAACCACTGAGCTAAATCCCTGGCCCCAACTCACTGTATTTTTATAACATTGAAAACCTGGGAATCTGTAAAAGTACTTATGATAGACAACACAGTAATTTCCAATCCCACTAGTACTTTAATTCTGAAGTAACTGTTTCTTTGTTCTATCAACAGAATCATAGAGGAAAATAATAGCATCATCATTCTGTGTTAGTAAGGATATAGAGATATAAGAACCTGTGTGTTGCTCGGAAGTATGTGAGATATTTTAGTCATTGTGAAAAGGTTTGGTCTTTCTTCAAAAAGTTAAACATAGAATTATTGCTGGGCATGGTGGCACACATCTGTACCTAGCACTCAGGAGGCTGAGGCAGGTGGATCACTGTGAGCCTGGTTTACATACATAGTGAGTTCAAGGCAGCCTGAACTACATAGTGAGACCCTGTCTCAAAACAAAAAAGAATTACTATATGGTTCCAGTTCTAGGTATATATTTAAAAGTATTGAAAACAGGACCTCAAGCAAATATTGTGCAGAAATGTTCACAGCAACACTATTCATAGTAGCCAAAAGATAGGAACAACCTAAATGCCCATCAGCAGATAAATGGATAAGCCAGTTGTGGTAAATCAGCAACAGAACACTATCTGAAGATTTTGTAAATATTTAGAAAATAACCCACTTCTAAATGGCAAAAGGGTCAAAGAGGAGCTCAGAAGGGAAGTTATAAAATATTTTTAGTTTAATGAAAATGAAATAATATATCTAAATTTGTAGAATGCTGTTGAAGCAGTAGGAAACTGACAATAAATGCTTATTCAGAAGAAGGAGAGAAACTTAAGAACTCAGTGTCACTTTATTAAAGTAGAAAAATTTGAGCAAAATAATCCCAAATTAAATATATGGAAAGGATTAATTAAGAACAGAAATCTTTGAAGTAGAAAACAAAATCAGTAGAGAAAACAAGGATAACTAAAAGTTGGTTCTTTGAGAAATGAATAAAATTAAAACCCTTTGTTTTAATTACCTTTTTGTCACTGTGACCAAATAGCTGAGAAAAGCTCAAAGGGTGATTTATTTGGGTCACATTTTACAAGGCTTCAGCCATAGTCAGCTCCTTCCTTTGCTGTGGGCCTGAAGTGAGGGAACATTATGAGAGAAGGGTGTGGTGGTGCGAAGCTGCTTGCCACATGGCAACCAGGAATCAGAGAGCAAGGAAAGACCCGGGGGGCGGGGGGAGGAAGAGCCAAGGACAAGATGTAGTCCCGAAGTCACGCCTTCACGACCCAGTCCCGTAGGAAGACCTTACCTTCCTAAGTTTTCATCATTTACTAATAATGCCATCAAATTATATCTCATCAATAGCTTAATCTACTGAAAAAGTTAGAGCCCTTGTGATCCTGTCTTCCTGTCAACAAACTAAAAGGCAAAAACCCCCATATGATTATCTCAATAATTAGATACTGCATCAATTCATGATAATAAACATCAGTAACTAAGAAGAAAAGGAATCTCCTCAATTGTAAGGGGCAAATGTAAATATCCTCCAGGTATTACACTTATGTTGAAAAACTGAGTATTTCTTCAGATTAGGAACAACCCAAGAATGTCACAGACTGTTCAATAGGCAAGAAAAAAGATGCACAGTGCTACCTTGGTATTTATTGTTGACTGCCACCTGGAGGTGTGTCAAATACTAAAAATGATGAGCACCAAACAAATTATTTTGGCAAGAGAGTGTAACGAACCACGAGGCAGTTGATACCAACAAAGCTTTGGCTTGTGTGTGTGAGTACCAAACAGTACCAGGACAAAATTTGTGCATCAGAAACCATCAAGTACCAAATTTGGTGGGTTTCATACCAGTTGAGATCCAGGCTATGACTGTAACGGGAATGCAGATTGAGCATTTTCCTTGTTTGCTTTTATTTGATCTATTTTAAAGTGAATGATCCTTCTCTTGCTTCTAGATCCTTGCCATTCTATATAGTCTCTATTACCTAAGGAAATCAGGAGTTTCTTCAAGATTGCTAAAATTGTAGGAATGAAAGAAGTTTGTTTGTTTTTTAAGGAAGTCTCCATTATACTCCACACATGGAAAAGAGAAGTAGAAGTTGCATGTGATCACCTTTGCCAACCATCTGTGAGTTTCTAATGCACATTCTCATCTCTCTCTGAAGGATTATCCATTGCAACTTGTTCTCTCACTTTCCTTAAAGCAAGCACTATTATTCTCCCCGAGTCTTCTATCACATAGCAAGAGCGTTGGTGGAAATTGCTTTTCCATAAAAAGAACTGTGCCTCTTACTCTTCAAATGCCACTGATTAAGAAAATCATTGATTGATTTTCCTGGGGAATAAATTAGGTTTTCCCCTGAGAATGGAAAGAAAGAAATGAGATGTAAAGAATGAAGATGGCTGAGTGTTATGAGGAAAATGTTTATGCAGTTTCCATGGAAACAACATGTAGGCATTCAAAACAGGAGCTTATATCTCTACATTTGTCAAATATAAATCAGATATGGGTTGCATTTATTCTCTTTCTTGGCCTAAATTTAGTCTGACATGTGGTTGTGTAAAATATGCTCCTACTTTAGTGTATTTGCTTAATGTTTGCAGGAATCTGGCAATACATGGACTGCCATGATTTAAAATCATATACACAAAGCACAGAAATAAAATTAAGGAAACAGTTACAGCAAAAAAAATTCCTAACAACAAATGGCAGCACAATCAGTTCCCACCACAGGGCTTCTGAAACTGACTTTCATAATGAACAGAGCTAATTAATTTTTCTTTATTGAAATGTACTCACATTTTGGATCTAGTTGGTACAAGCTAATTTTTTGTGGGTTGGTGTCAAATGCAGAAAATGCATAGCTTGATAGTTTATTCTTATTTAACATATGTGCTTTCTTTTCTTCAGTAGAGTAAGACACAAGTGTTTCTGAATGATTTTTAGATTTTTCTGGCAGAAAACATCGGTTGCCTTTAATTTCATGCTTCATAAGTGTGGCATGGTAGACATCTAGACAAAGCATACACAAGTTTTGAAGATTTGGAGAATTTGACAAAACTCAAAGCTTAAAGTTTTTTCAGTAAGTAATTCCAAAGATAATGCAGAAAATTCAGACCCGATCTGCAGCCACTGCTGTTTAATAGACTCACAAAGAACAGTCGGAAACCCTGAAAACAATTACAATAGGCTCCTTTCATAAAATCTGGGTGTTATCCATACAACTCCAATACCTGCATGTCAACTTTGTTAGCCATTTCCTAGCCCATCCGCTTATCACCCTGTGTATTTTCTCTTCTGTTAGATTCCCTCAAAGACATGCACTTAGTGAGCAGATAGTCTGGAGGCATGATGTCTTATTAAAGCAATAATTAGTATTAGTCCAGTAAATTTAACAGTAATTTAATGAGACCAAATAGCTGTACAGATTAAAATGGGAAAGGCCTAATCAAAGAAAGCTTTACAGAGGAGGTAGGTTTTAAGTCAAAATTTAGAAGTTAAAGATCTTTCTAGAGACCATTTTGACAATATGATATCAAAATTTTAAAAATTTATATACCCTTTAAACCAAAAATTTTACTTCCAGGAATTTGTCTTAAGGAAATAAAGTTTAGTAAAATGATTAAGTTAGAAGAATGTTTTCTAGAAATGGGGATTTAGCTCAGTGATTCTGCCACCTGCCTCGCAACCACAAGGTCCCGAGTTCGATCCCAAATACCAAAAAAAAGGAGAATGTTTTCTAAACCCTGTTTAAAATATAGAAATATTGGAAATAACTCAGACATCAAAGGAATGGGTAAATTTAGGATAAATCCAGAAAATGAAGGTGTATAGCTATTCCAAATGATGTTGCAAAAAAATTTTTTATTGATGTGGAAGAGTATTCCTGATACATTGTTAAGTGAGAAAAGTAGGAATTTGATGGTATTGTATTAAATCTACAGATAATTTTGAGGAAAATTTACATGTATATTATGTTGGATTTTCTAATTGATGAGGATAGTACTTAATAGGCACATTTATTTAGCACTTTGACTTTTAAAATTAGTGTTTTGTACTTGTCAGCCTGGAGCTCTGATACCTATTTTCTTAGATTTATGTCCAAGGATTTATTTTTTACCTTTTTGTTTGTTTTTGGAGCTGATCTGAAAAGTACTTTTACATTTTTTGTTTGTTAGTATATTGCTCATATATAGAAATGAAATTGATATTTACATGTTGACCTTTTATCCTACAGTCTTCAAATATCCAAATGGCATAATTTCATCTTTTTCAATCTGTGTATTTCATTTCCTTTTCTTACTATCTAGAACTTTTAGGATATATAGACTGAATCCTGAGAGTATAGACATCTTTGTCTTACTCCCTCTTTTGGAGAAGTGGAGGAGGTTTTTCCTTATTAAATATAATGTTAGCTGTAGGTTGTTTCATAGATGTCCTTGAATCATGTAGAAGAAATTCCCTTTGGTCCTGATTTTCTGAGCATTTTCAATATGATAGATTTTTCAGTATGTTGGATTTTGTCAAATAAATTTTCTGTATCAATTGATATAATTGTATGGATTTTTCTTTGAGCTAGCTGTTAATAGAATGGATTACCTAGATTGCTTAATATTGAATTTGTATTCCTAGAATGAACCGTACTTAGTTGTGATGTGCTATTCTTTTCACATATTACTAGAACATCTCATAGATGATTTTTGTTTATTATGTTTGAGGTTGAGAGCTATTGGCCCATAGGCATGCCCCCCCCCCCAGTCCTGGGGATTGAACCCAGTATTGCCCTAGTTTTGATTGTTTTTGTTTCTTAATATAATTTGGGCAGTAGGGTAAAGTAGATCTCACAAAATACATTCGTAAGTCGCGGTCATGTGTCTGAAGCTGCAGCTCAACACTGTACAGGGGGCTCTCCTTGGTGAAGAGGAGGTGTCCTGAGCCATGCTGCCCTCTACCTCTGTCATGAGCTGGGATGCTTTTCTGTGCACTATGCTGCCCACACATCTACTGTGCTCTTCACCTATAGCCTGATCATGAGAGTTCTGGGGCACATCATCATTTCTCAATTGCCTGCTTGTATTGTGGGTCATGCCTCAGAAGACTGAAATGAAAACATAGCAGTTGTATCAACTTATCCTAATAATGACATTACAGAGTAAAAGTGTTTTCCATATTATGGAAGAAAACTCCATGTTGGTTATCTACAGATATTAGTTGCTGTCCAGGTCATTTTCAACGCTAACAGTAGCAGGAAAGAGGTAACAGTTGAGTGCAAAATTGATGGATCACCCAATCTAAAGCCAAGGATGATCATGACCAGTTTTGGGGATGAGTTGCATTCAGAATCATAGTACATGCATAGAATGAGGAGGATCATCTCCACAAAATAAATGTGTTATGTGTCTTTATTTTGTATCAGCTGAACCTGCCATTCTAGAATTATGAGGTACCTAGGAGAAAGATGTCTAATATGTGACATTAATATGACAACATAATGTGTTTCCAGATCACAGTGTTCGGTGTCCTCTTGACCTCTTGTATAGCCCTCAGATAGGGACCAATGAACACCTGTTTCTGACCATATAGAATGGAGCTTTTGTCCTCATTCCTATGAGACTTAATTGCCAAGAGTCTAAAGCTTAATGTGTTGTGCTATGTTGGATTTAACACTAGTTAACTGTCATATTTTGATGCCACTGAAGTTTTAAGGGTAGCATAACACCTAGTTATCATTAAATGACTTTATAGCTACAAGAAATGTGTGTCGAGTTCTGTATGTGAGAAAGAAAAGAAAGGTATATCTGAAAGTTAAAATAAATAAAATACATGGGTAGTATTTTTCTGTTTTCTGGAACACATTGTCTAGAACTGGTATGATTTTTTTCTTTAAATATTTGGTAGAACTTATCAGTGAAACTATCTACACATAGCGATTCAGGGAAGTGGGTGGGGCAGGGAGAGACGGTTTTTTGGTCTGTTTGGCTTTTAAATTTGCTTAATGTTAAGATTTACCTTTTTTGGAGTAGTTCACTGTAAAGCTAAATAAAAGGAAGTTACAGAGATTTCTCATATAATTCCTGCCCCAACACATGCATAGCCTCTTCCATTATCAACATCCTCTACCAAATTGATACATTTATTATAGGTGATAAACTTTGATGCATCGTAATTCATCACAGTCTAAAGTTTAGGATTTTGCTTTTTGTTTTTTACATTTGGTGGATTTGGAGAAATGTATAATGACCTATATTTACCACTATAGTATCATGTGGAATGCTTCCACTGCCCTCTCTTCTCTACCCTTTCATCTCTCCCCTCTAATCTCTAGCAACTGTGGATCTCTTTTGACAATCTCTATGGTTTTGTCTTCTCTAGAATCCCTTATAATTGGAATTATATAATATGTGGCCTTTTTAGATTGACCTCCTTCACTTAATGTAATATGATTGTGAATTCTTCCCATATCTTTACATGACTTGACAGCCCATTTCTTTTTAGTGCTGAATAGTATTCATTGTCTGAATGTACTGTAGTTCATCCATTCACCTACTGAGAGAGACATCATGGCTGCTTCCATGTTCTGGCAATTGTGAATCAAGCTGCTGAAAATATCTATGTTCAAGTTTTTGTGTGGACATTTGTTTTCACCTCCTTTGGGTAAATACCAGGGAGCATGGTTGCTGGATCATATGGTAAGAGTTTGCTTAATTTTTATTTATTTATTTATTTTTGGTACCAGGGATTGAACTCGGGTCCTTGCGCTTCTGCAGCAGGCGATGAAACCACTGAGCTAAATCCCCAGCCCTTTGCTTAATTTTTAAAGAAACTGCCACACTGTCTTCCAACATGGCTACACCATTTTGCATCTGCAGAGCTGAGAGTGGAACTTAGTGATAGAGCACTTTCCTAGCATGCACCAGGTTCTGCATGCATTCCATCCCCAGCATCACAAAATAAACAAAAGAAAAACAAATAAAAATAACAATCAGTGCTTAAATGTATAAACTACACAGACAGCCATTTTGCATTCTGACCAGCAGTAAATTCAAGTTTCTTTTGCTCCACATCCTTGCCAGCATTGGTGGCCTCCGTGTTAAGGACTTTGGCCATTCTAGTAAGTGAGCAGTGAT